CCCCCTCCCCTCCCTGCCCTGCCCTCCCCTCTCGCCGGCAAATGGCACGTACCTGTCTCCTCTAACCGAGTCTGAGCCAGGCTGGTGCTGTTGGGGTAGGACTGCACCGAGCTCATGTAAGGGTTGCCCGAGTGGCTGCTGACCGAGTTGACATAGGGGTAGCCCAGCGGTCTGGAGAAGGAGGACGCGGCGCTGTACGAGCTGTCCGGCTGCGAGTGGCCGGCCGAGTGTAAACAGTGCATGGAGTAGTGCCCGTGGGCCATGGGCGACGGAGGCATTTGCTGCCCGGGCGGGCCGAACTCCATGAAGACCGCCTTGCCTGAGACGGGGCTATTTAGGCTCTCTGGCATGGCGGTCATGGTCATTGCTCGCCGCTGACTCGGGCGCCTCGCTCGCTCTCGCTCTGGCTCTCTCGCTCTCCCTCTCTCAGTCCCTCTCTCTCTCTCTCTCGTCTTTGGGGGGGCTCTCCCGGCCTCGCGTTCTCGGGACCCAATTTAAGAGGCCCGGGGCTTTTCACTTTCCATTCATAAGAAAATGGAGTTTGGCTCTTTGAAAAAGTGTCTCTAAGGCATGAGATGCTGGGGGGATCTACACAAACTCGCCTAAAAGCTTTGACTCAGCCAAACGCCATGAATATGCATGAGCTCGCCGAGCTGATTGGCCCGCCGTCTGGCAGAAGCGCTCGCGATTGGCCCGAGACGCTTTTAGGGGGCTCGCCGGCTGGACCGGGCGAGCAAGAGACGGACTTCGCCTGGGCGGAGGAGATGCTGCCGTGGGACCCTTCCAGCCGCCTCCCCTCGCTACGGGTGTGGGGAGGAAGACGGAAAGGTTCGCAGACCAGGAAGCGGGCCCTCTCCGGCAGTCCTCTTCTCCGCTGCGGAGGATGGATCCCTGGCTCCATGCCCCAGTCTCCGCTTGACTTTTCTGGGTACCCCCACCGGTGTGACTCGTGACTAATCCTCCACAGCAACTAAGTGTAAGCTAGAGAGGAAGGAGAAAGGTCTCCCTCTCCCCCAGCCCCCC